TTATAACTTTAGATATAAAATATTGTTTCCTAATGATATTATATTGCATGTTTGGAACATATTTTGTTTCAGACTCTGAAGAGGAATCTTTAATTGTTAAAATACTCAAACAATTTTCAAGTAAGAACGTATTTTAGTTTTACAGCAATGCAGTAACTCAAATATCCTACTGCCATAATATCCTTATAATGCATTTCGTGTAGTTTTCAAAGGACATGGCGCAGTATATCTGTAACACACACACACGCGCGTGCGCACACACACACACATATATAGTAGCAATTACAGACACTAAGTTGAGTGAGGACATAAACAGTGTCACAGTTTTTCCTAAGGGCTTCAGAATACTAAGGGTTGAAAGATCTGAGAGGACTGGTGGAGGGATAGCACTGCTCATAAGTGAAAGGATTCAAGTTGAAGAAATAAACTTGGCTATAGAAAGTGAGTTCAAGGAATTTCTTGTTGCTCGCATAAATACTGGGTCAGAGAGCATTATAATAACTGTTGTATACAACCCACCAAGGAACCAAAATAGGCTTGAAGTTTATGAGGAAAGTCATATAGGTACTATTGAAGTCATAAACTCAGTTGTTAACATGGCACGGGAAAAAAAATGTAGGATTTTGATTATGGGAGACTTTAATCATAAAGAGATAGATTGGATAAATCTTGACCCACACAGTGGTGAGGACTCATTCGGGGCAAGATTCCTAGATTGCGTACAAGGGAATTTCCTACACCAACATGTAATGGAACCAACAAGGGCCAGGGGTGGGGATGAGCCATCACTACTTGATCTAGTGTTCACAGATAATGTGTTGGATATTGAAAATATTGAGTATGAACCACCAATTGGAAAGAGTGACCACTGTGTGTTGTTGATGGAGTATATCATTGAAGATATTCTTCCTGAGAGTAGAGGCACTGAGGACATGAGGAGGAACTATCCGAAAGGAGATTACATCAAAATGAATGAGCTTTTTGCAGTTATTGACTGGAGAACCTTATTTTACAGCAAATCTGTACAAGAAATGTATGACATCTTTTGTGAGAAATATGGGAAGATAGTAGATTGCTGCATACATGTCACCAAAGTAGGTGTAATTCATGCCAGAGAGAAATGGTTCGATAATGGGTGTAAAAGAGCTAAGGAGTGGAGAGACAAATGCTGGAAAAGGTATAGGAGGAGAAAAAACATAAATGCCTGGCAAACCTACAAAAGAGCAAGAAATGACTACCTAAGTAAAAGGAGAGAAGCAGAGAGAGACTATGAGAGGGACATCACCAAGAAGGCTAAAGAAAATCCCAAGCTTTTCCACAGCTTTATCAGAGGAAAACTGAAGGTAAAAGAACAGGTTTTAAGGCTAAAGAGAGCGGATGGAAGCATCACTGAGACGGATGAAGAGATCTGCAAAGAATTGAACAAGGAGTTTCAGTCAGTATTTACAGTAGAAAATACCCCACCCCCTCAGATTGCAGTGATAGAAGCTCAAGGGCCGGTATTGGAGAACATCAACCTTACAGCCACAGAGGTATGCAAAGCGCTGATGGATTTAGATGTTCATAAAGCTACAGGTCCTGACGACATATCCCCTCATGTGCTTAAAAAATGCGCAAACACAATATCAGTGGCACTAAGTATCATATTTAAGGAGTCACTGGAGTCGGGGGAGATTCCAAGATGCTGGAAACAAGCAAATGTGATACCTACCTTCAAAAAGGGAAGGAGGGATACGGCTCTGAACTATAGACCAGTTTCCTTGACCAGCATAGTTTGCAAAGTTATGGAGAAACTACTAAGGAAACATATCTCTCTTCACTTGGAATCCTTCAACTTTTTGTCAGTGAGGCAACATGGCTTCAGAGAAGGTAGATCAACAGTATCAAACTTATTAGAATTTTATGATGAGGTAAGCCAAATCTTACAGGAAAGAGAGAGCTGGGCAGATTGCATATTCCTAGACTTCCAGAAAGCGTTTGACACTGTTCCACATGGGAGACTTATTAGGAAGCTGCAATCAATGGCTAGAATAGGTGGAAATGTTTTTGAATGGATAAAAACTTACTTAGAAGGAAGGGAACAGAGGGTTAGAGTAAGACACTCAGTGTCTGAATGGAGAAGAGTTAGTAGTGGAGTTCCACAGGGTTCAGTTTCAGGGCCACTTTTGTTCCTTGTATATGTAAATGACCTACCAGAGTCTGAAAATTCATTCATGAATATGTTTGCAGATGATGCAAAGATTGTGAAGAAAGTAAAAAACGAGAACAATGGTAGAGAACTTCAGGAGGATCTAAATAATCTGCATGAGTGGTCAGAAAAGTGGCTAATGAAATTCAATACTTCAGAATGTAAGGAAATGAGAATGGGTACAAGTGGAAGAAGGCCCAAGCTTGACTACTCGGTGGCTGGAGTACAACTTCAAGAGACAGAAAATGAGAGAGATCTAGGAGTAAACATACTGGCAGATTTGTCTCCAGAAATACGTATAAATGGCATAGTAAGGGCAGCATATGCATTCTTATCAAATGTAAGGGTAGCCTTCAGGCACATTGACAAGGAAATGTTCAGAAATATTTATGTAACCTATGTGAGGCCAAAACTCGAATATGCAGCCCCCTTTTGGAATCGGCACTTGAAAAAGCACATAGCTAAGCTTGAAAAAGTTCAAAGACATGCCACGAAACTGGTGCCAGAAATACGCAATCTCAGTTATGATGAGAGGCTGAGGGAATTAGACTTACCATCACTGGAAGCTAGAAGAGTGAGGGGGATATGGTGACAGTCTTTAAATTCCTCCATGGTTATGATAGAGTGGATAGGGATCGATATTTTGATATGGCTGGCTCTAGAACTAGAGGTCATAGTTTGAAGCTTGGTAAGAAAACTTGTTTGCAGGATGTAAGGAAATACTTTTTCAGTGTAAGAGTAGTTGATAATTGGAATTGGCTAAGCGAGGAGGTAGTTAATGCTATCTCAATCCATAGTTTTAAGGACAGGTATGATAAGTATCACTAAGTATAAAATGGAACCGATGAGGAGACGAGAAGATACGAGCTTTGGGCTCTTTCCCGTAAAAACAATTAGGTAATCACAATTAGGTAATCACACACACACACACACACACACACACACACACACATAGGTCCCGATGACATATCCCCTCATGTGCTTAAAAAATGCGCAAACACAATATCAGTGGCACTAAGTATCATATTTAAGGAGTCACTGGAGTCGGGGGAGATTCCAAGATGCTGGAAACAAGCAAATGTGATACCTATCTTCAAAAAGGGAAGGAGGGATACGGCTCTGAACTATAGACCAGTTTCCTTGACCAGCATAGTTTGCAAAGTTATGGAGAAACTACTAAGGAAACATATCTCTCTTCACTTGGAATCCTTCAACTTTTTGTCAGTGAGGCAACATGGCTTCAGAGAAGGTAGATCAACAGTAACAAACTTATTAGAATTTTATGATGAGGTAAGCCAAATCTTACAGGAAAGAGAGGGCTGGCCAGATTGCATATTCCTAGACTTCCAGAAAGCGTTTGACACTTTTCCACATGGGAGACTTATTAGGAAGCTGCAATCAATGACTAGAATAGGTGGAAATGTTTTTGAATGGATAAAAACTTACTTGGAAGGGAACAGAGGGTTAGAGTAAGACACTCAGTGTCTGAATGGAGAAGAGTTAGTAGTGGAGTTCCACAGGGTTCAGTTTTAGGGCCACTTTTGTTCCTTGTATATGTAAATGACCTACCAGAGTCTGTAAATTCATTCATGAATATGTTTGCAGATGATGCAAAGATTGTGAAGAAAGTAAAAAACGAGAACAATGGTAGAGAACTTCAGGAGGATCTAAATAATCTGCATGAGTGTTCAGAAAAGTGGCTAATGAAATTCAATACTTCAAAATGTAAGGTAATGAGAATGGGTACAAGTGCAAGAAGGCCCAAGCTTGACTACTCAGTGGCTGGAGTACAACTTCAAGAGACAGAAAATGAGAGAGATCTAGGAGTAAACATACTGGCAGATTTGTCTCCAGAAATACATATAAATGGCATAGTAAGGACAGCATATGCATTCTTATCAAATGTAAGGGTAGCCTTCAGGCACATGGACAAGGAAATGTTCAGAAATATTTATGTAACCTATGTGAGGCCAAAACTCGAATATGCAGCCCCCTTTTGGAATCCGCATTTGAAAAAGCACATAGCTAAGCTTGAAAAAGTTCAAAGACATGCCACGAAACTGGTGCCAGAAATACGCAATCTCAGTTATGATGAGAGGCTGAGGGAATTAGACTTACCATCACTGGAAGCTAGAAGAGTGAGGGGGGGGTATGGTGACAGTCTTTAAATTCCTTCATGGTTATGATAGAGTGGATAGGGATCGATATTTCGATATGGCTGGCTCTAGAACTAGAGGTCATAGTTTGAAGCTTGGTAAGAAAACTTGTTTGCAGGAAGTAAGGAAATACTTTTTCAGTGTAAGAGTAGTTGATAATTGGAATTGGCTAAGCGAGGAGGTAGTTAATGCTATCTCAATCCATAGTTTTAAGGACAGGTATGATAAGTATCACTAAGTATAAAATGGAACCGACGAGGAGACGGGAAGATACGAGCTTTGGGCTTTTTCCCGTAAACACAATTAGGTAATCACAGTGTTGTCCAAGGTAAAGAGTTGAGCATAGTCAACCTCTCCTAGTTCATTCTCTGATATTTTTACTTCTTGAATTCTTTTTTTCCTGTCTTGCGGCGTGTGACAAGAATACCACTTCATGGAGTAAAAATTTATATCTTTATGCAAAATGTATTTCTTTGCTTTGATCAGAACTCTAGTAGAAGACGCTGACTGTACGTGCTTGTGGAACGAGTTGTAGTGTGTTTGTGAGAAGAGTATGGTAGTGTGTTTGTGAAAAGAGTATGGATGCATTAGTAGTGAGTGAAGCAAAGGTAAAAGGGTGTGTGCTACTCCGCACACGCACACACACTCTTCTCACAAACCTCGTGGTGTAGTGGCTAGCACACTCGGCTCACTACCGAGAAATCTCAGGTTCTACTCCTGATCGAGGAAGATACATTTGGGCACGTTTCTATGAAGCCAGCTGCATCTCTTCAGCTAACAGTATAATTAGGTACCTGGCGTTCAGTCGATCGCAGTGGGTCGCTGTTCAGGGATGGTACTTCTTCAAGGCCATATATATACACACGTGTGTGTGTGTGTATATATATATATATATATATATATATATATATATATATATATATATATATATATATATATATATATATATATAGTATTTGCAGTATGGGTATATACATTGATAGATAGATATTTGCGTGCGTGTGTTTGTAAATTACACCATTCATTTTTAGATAACAATATTACTTAAAAGAAGACTATTTTATTTTCTACTTCGAATTTCATTTTCTTTCCAGTTACACGTTTCATAATTCCTTCTCCAAATAGGAGAAACTTATGTTCTCTGAAATGACAGTATAAGCGATGAATAAATATAAATACAAATAATAAATATATATATAAATATGAAAAAAAAGAATGGCTTATATAATGGGAAGAGAAGACTGAAATGTATAGATATAAACAAAAGTTTATCCGCCATTCTGATCAGCCATTGATTGATTCTCTATGGAGTAATACTTTTTCCAAGTTCAAGGCTACCAAATTTGCCATACTTGCTTGATAAAGGATTGTTTGAAGTACTTACTTACTCGATCTTCATGTTGCCATATATATATATATATATATATATATATATATATATATATATATATATATATATATATATATATATATATAATGTTGTTGGGTTTTACGTCACGGACTCCCTTTTCTCCCAAGGGCTAGAGCGGTTGCCTTCTTGCGAAGGACTTGTTTTGGCAGATGTAATCGTTACCCTGAGTGCATGCCCTTGCTAACCTCAGGCCGTGTCGGGGCGCGAACCCTCGACCTGACGCCTCAAAGTCGCGGACGCTACCGCTTGAGCCACGGTGACTACATATATATATATATATATATATATATATATATATATATATATATATATATATATATATATATATATATATATATATATATGAATCATTTTTTACCCCAACTGGGACTTAAACCTAGAACTTTTACTTACAAAGCCAAGGCGCTACTAACTACACCACAGAAGGTTAAAAGGAAACAGATCTTATAGCTTATATCTGCTATAGTAGGAATGAACGCATTCTATCTGAATGCCACTATGTTCATATTACAGTTTCCATAACCTCACTCGTGGATTCGTTTTCGCTTTCAATTCAACTCCCAATCTCATTCGGGACCAACAATAACCAAATAAGCACATTACATATGTGAAAGCATTAATCATTTTTCCCCCGACCTGGACTTGAACCAAGGACTTATAATTACTAAGCCAAGGCGCTACTAACTACACCACAGAAAGTTAAAAGGAAACAGACCTTATAGCTTATATCTGTAATTATAAGTCCTAGGTTCAAGTCCCGGTCGGGGTAAAAATTAATCATGTTTTCACATATGTAATGTGCTTATTTGGTTATTGTTGGTCCTGAATGAGATCGGGAGTTGAATTAAATGTGAAAACGAAAGCACGAGTGATGTTGGGGAAACTGTAATGTAAATATAGTGGCATTCAAATATAATGCGTTCATTCCTACTATAGCAGATATACGCTATAAGGTCTATTTCCATTTACCCTTCTGTGGTGTAGTTAGTAGCGCCTTGGCTTAGTAATTATAAGTCCTAGGTTCAAGTCCCGGTCGGTGTAAATATGATTCATATTTTCACATATGTAATGTGCTTATTTGGTTTTATATATATATATATATATATATATATATATATATATATATATATATATATATATATATATATATATATATATATATATATAAGGAAGCACAAACTGCTAATATACTGCACTAAATGGTAAGGAAGCCATCAGTGAAACAACACACAAAAAATAACTCTATATTTCGGGTCCAGTTAGGACCCGAAATATAGCGCTATTTTTTCTATGTGTTGTTTCACTAATGGGGCTCCTTACCATATATATATATATATATATATATATATATATATATATATATATATATATATATATATATATATTCACCACACACACACCCTAGAACTAGAGGTCATAGTTTGAAGCTTCGTAAGAAAACTTCTTTGCAGGATGTAAGGAAATACTTTTTCAGTGTAAGAGTAGTTGATAATTGGAATTGGCTAAGCGAGGAGGTAGTTAATGTTATCTCAATCCATAGTTTTAAGGACAGGTATGATAAGTATCACTAAGTATAAAATGGAACCGATAAGGAGACGGGAAAATACGAGCTTTGGGCTCTTTCCCGTAAACACAATTAGGTAATCACAATTAGGTAATCACACACACACACACACACACACACACACACACACACACACACACACACACACACACACACACATATATATATATATATATATATATATATATATATATATATATATATATATATATATATATATATATATATATGGACTACAGTTTATATATTTTGATATTTATTATGATTATCAGCTACGTCACCCGCCTTCTCCAAGGGATGTTGATGAGAGAAGTTCTTTCATCATTAATCCAATAATTTTTGCAAAAGATTTTTGTCATAAATGCTTTGAAATTCAGAAGAAAAACTTGGACCCGATAAATTAGGGTCACCCATAAATTAATCTGCAATTAGGTTATTTGAGTATCCGTAATTGAAGTCCCATTTACCACTGGACAAATTTGCTCAAAATTTTAGGGGTAGCCTCCGTAGTATGCAAGAAAGTAGTGCTAGATTACTATATCATCATATTCATCGCCTCCAACACCTTGCGACGCAATGTGCCTCGTTACAATTCCGCCACTCATTTCTATCCTGTGCTTCCACTTCCGTAGATCCCCTTTCCTATTCAATCTTGCGTCTCATAGTTCTCACCCAAGTAGGTCTGGGCCATTCAGTTCCTTCTGGTACCCAGAGGTGCCCATCTGATACTTGTCACATACTTGTTGCAATGCTGAAGATATGTCCAAACATTCTTTATTATATGGTTATTTTAAATTAGAATGGAAACATGAGAAAAGTGAATGCAATTGGTGAATTGATTAACTTTAATTGTAAAGGGATGTTTTGGAATAATACCAGTTTGACCTCTGGGAATTTTTGATGGGAGAATGGGTGTTATGTTGCTAACGTATTAATATATAATACAAACATTATTAGTACAGTTTTGTGGCTAAAATAATATATGTATTATGAAAAAATCCAGTTTTAAGTGGTGTCATTCGTTTATTTAATTTACAGTTAGGTATTACCCAGAAATGTCTCCACGCGTATTCCTAACAAAGTTTAATATTCACCGAAAATTGAATTAAATCTTTAGTTATGGGGAGATTCATTGGAACTATTTTCTTATATTATTTCACAGTAAAACCATGTAATAAAACTGGTGGACAGGGATAAAAGGATAAAATAAAAACGGATCTAGTAAAGTTAATCACTTTCAACAGCTAAGGAGAGCTTAGCATGACCTCACAATTTTTAGACTATGTTAGTATATTTGAAGAATGGTTTATTTTTAATAAGCCTCAGTTAACAATTAATGGGAACTTGGACCATAGAAACATATATTGCTTTACCCAGTTTGACTGATGTTTTTATTAGCTAGTGATATATTTAACTCGTGTTGAATGTCTTTTTAAAGCTCGATACTTAGGAATAAAGATGGTCTGTTTTGTATGTGCATCACTGAACTCTTACAGTACCGTAAAATCCTTCTTCGTAGAATGTTGTAAGATAAAAATAATGTAACTGTACCTCTCGCTTGCAGTGTAAACTGAAAATAAAGCTTTTAATGACGTCTTTTTTTTTCACGCTCTTTACGAAAAATTGAATTAAATATGTCTAAACTGTCTAGTTCTGGCTTTTGTCTATGTACGTATCAGTTCTTGCAAGCACTTGGAAAAAAATCCCTGAGTTGGTGATAATAACAGATATACATTTTGGCTCACATGCAAGAGGTCCCATTATCATCTACCAGAATGGCTCTTACGGCTTGTTACACCAGAATTACATTATTGATAAGGAAGAGGTAGCGGCCTACCTCGACTATTCGCCTTTGCCAACTCACCAGTTAAATGAGTGTGTGGGGCAAGGGGTCAATCTCAAACTGTGTCTTCATGATATTTTCTGCTTTATTAAAGGAAAAATGCCCGTTCCACATGTTTATGAAACCAAAATTCTCAAACTTATCAAATAAGCTCAGTAATAATGTGAAAAATTAGTGAAAAAAATAAGAAAATAAAAACACAAAGCAGCTCTCATATTCAAGAGGACATGATTAAAGAAAATGTATTGTAAAAGTATACGCACACACGCCCACCCCTCTGCACATACGCACACACGCACACGCCCACTCGCTCGCACACGCACATGCCTCCACCCGCCCGCACATACATGAACACCCGCCAGCACACAAACACACACACACGATTAAATAAAATGTATAGTAAAAGTATACGCACACACGCCCACCCCTCTGCACACTCACACACACACGCACACGCCCACTTGCTCGCACACACGCACATGCCTCCACCCGCCCTCACATACATGAACACCCGCCAGCACACACACACACACACACACACACACACACACACACACACACACACACACACACACACACACACACACACACACACACACACTGTTCCACATGGGAGACTTATTAGGAAGCTGCAATCAATGGCTAGAATAGGTGGAAATGTTTTGGAATGGATAAAAACTTACTTAGAAGGAAGGGAACAGAGGGTTAGAGTAAGACACCCAGTGTCTGAATGGAGAAGAGTTAGTAGTGGAGTTCCACAGGGTTCAGTTTTAGGGCCACTTTTGTTCCTTGTATATGTAAATGACCTACCAGAGTCTGTAAATTCATTCATGAATATGTTTGCAGATGATGCAAAGATTGTGAAGAAAGTAAAAAACGAGAACAATGGTAGAGAACTTCAGGAGGATCTAAATAATCTGCATGAGTGGTCAGAAAAGTGGCTAATGAAATTCAATACTTCAAAATGTAAGGTAATGAGAATGGGTACAAGTGCAAGAAGGCCCAAGCTTGACTACTCGGTGGCTGGAGTACAACTTCAAGAGACAGAAAATGAGAGAGATCTAGGAGTAAACATACTGGCAGATTTGTCTCCAGAAATACATATAAATGGCATAGTAAGGGCAGCATATGCATTCTTATCAAATGTAAGGGTAGCCTTCAGGCACATGGACAAGGAAATGTTCAGAAATATTTATGTAACCTATGTGAGGCCAAAACTCGAATATGCAGCCCCCTTTTGGAATCCGCACTTGAAAAAGCACATAGCTAAGCTTGAAAAAGTTCAAAGACATGCCACGAAACTGGTGCCAGAAATACGCAATCTCAGTTATGATGAGAGGCTGAGGGAATTAGACTTACCATCACTCGAAGCTAGAAGAGTGAGGGGGGATATGGTGACAGTCTTTAAATTCCTTCATGGTTATGATAGAGTGGATAGGGATCGATATTTTGATATGGGTGGCTCTAGAACTAGAGGTCATAGTTTGAAGCTTCGTAAGAAAACTTCTTCGCAGGATGTAAGGAAATACATTTTCAGTGTAAGAGTAGTTGATAATTGGAATTGGCTAAGCGAGGAGGTAGTTAATGCTATCTCAATCCATAGTTTTAAGGACAGGTATGATAAGTATGACTAAGTCTAAAATGGAACCGATGAGGAGACGGGAAGATACGAGCTTTGGGCTCTTTCCCGTAAACACAAGTAGGTAATCACAATTAGGTAATCACACACACACGATTAAAGAAAATGTATTGTAAAAGTATATGCACACACGCCCACCCCTCTGCACACACACACACACACACACGCCCAATCGCTCGCACATGCCTCCACCCTCCCGCACATACACGAACACCCGCCAGTACACACACACACACAAAATTATATATATATATATATATATATATATATATATATATATATATATATATATATATATATATATATATATATATATATATATATATATATATATATATATATATATATATATATATATATATATATTATTTTAACACCTTCC